CCCTCCCAAGATCAGCAAACAAGTCTTTGTCTTCATGGCAAAAGATCGGACAATCTTCCTTCTCTCTCTCTCTCTCCTTCCCTGGGTTGTGTAACTATATGCAGGTATATAGAAACACAGTATCAGGATCACGCTAACTGGCCCCTCATAGCTAGGTCGAAAGAGTTGTCTTTAGAGTATACACTTACGGTTTTGTTATGGATTTTACATTTGAGTTGATTACTTAATACATAGTGCAATGCACAATGGATTGATGGCTTTTCACCCAGATACATCACCTCATTTGGGCCATCTCGTGTTGCAGTTTTAGTTGTAAGATTATTTGCCCAAAGAGTTGGAACACGATTAAGAAATATTCGACCATTAGATATTTTACTGCACTGAATGTCTCACTCATTTTCCGCCAATCCTATTTTAGCTCCTGCTGTGTTGTGTCAATATTAATACCAGAATTCTAAATATTTATAATTGCCATATCTTTCACGGCTGGACCTCTTCAAATAGAAGAGAAGACAGTCAAGGAAGTTTCTAACTATTTAGGAATTACTCGGTGATGCTCTTGTAGGACTTTTGCTGCTGTTGGTGTTGATCCTGCTATCATGGGTGTTGGACCTGCTGTTGCAATTCCAGCTGCAGTCAAAGCTGCTGGCCTTGAACTTGATGATATTGATCTTTTTGAGATAAATGAGGTAATGTTAAAATATGAAATGGAAATTCTCTCACTCATGCGCACCCTTTTTAATATGTTTTTGTAACATCTAAAATCTGTGAGTTCCAATTGTATTTCTTTTTACACAGGCATTTGCATCCCAATTTGTATATTGCCGTAAGAAGCTTGAACTCGATCCTGAAAAGATCAATGTTAATGGAGGTGCAATGGCCATTGGGCATCCTTTGGGTGCTACAGGTATTTATGTCACACATTTTAACGTAATATTTTCGTAGTGTTCTCATTTGAATACATTACTCATGCATCGATACCTTTATCTTGTCCAAAATGTTTTCTTAAATGCTGTATAATGTAACTAGCTGTTTCTACTTCATTCTCTTTTCTTTTTTCGCACCTCTTACATTTATAAAAATGCGTGTTAGTTATTACCTCATTCTTGTCATAATCGAGCCTTGTTTTTATGATTTATTAACTGTAAGGAGATGCCTTGTGTCTGCTTTAGGGGCACGATGTGTTGCCACGCTGTTACATGAGATGAAGCGTCGTGGCAAAGATTGCCGCTTTGGTGTTATATCGATGTGCATAGGATCACCATGTGATTTTTGTTATGATAATAATTATATGAAATTGTAATTGTTCAATATAATGGTTCTATTTTTTTTTTTTTGAATCTTTTCCCGACGTGCTTAAAGATATGGTTTGTGATTCTCATTTGCAACTCATCTCCAGGCACGGGAATGGGGGCTGCAGCTGTTTTTGAAAGAGGTGACTCTGTTGATGACCTCTGCAATGCTCGGAAGATTGGGACCAACAACTTTTTATCTAAGGATGCTCAATAGATTTCATTAATTCCTTCCCAAATTTATGAATAATGTTGCATTTGAATAATATTGCATCAATATGCTTGTGGATGTAATGCCCAAGATGATGAGATGGGTCAAGGCACAAAGTTAACAACAAATATGATCATAATCTGTTCCGACATTTTATTATAGTTTTTCTTTTTCTTTTTCCTTTTTTACATCTTTCTCTACAAGAAAAACTTACCCTTCGGATAGCCAAGGATAGTTCAATTTTTAATGTTGTGTAATTCAATTTTTTTCCCTTCATTTTTGTTAAATAATGTTATAACGTATATGGTTTTTCAGACATTCATTTTCTTTATTTTTGCCACCAGATGAAATTCAATGTTTTGTTTGATGCTTGTGAGACTGCGGAATGTTTAAAGCATCCATCATCTTACCAGAAAGAACACCTCTAAACAGGAACAGTTGAAACTCCGTCATGGAAATGGTGATCTTATTGTTGATCTACTCAGCCAACCCTTTGGCAAATTTGATTATAATGTTTCCTATGGTAACAGCACCTCCAAGCCCCGGAATAGGCCCCAACTCTTTTGTCCAAGTCCTTGTAAGCCAAAACCTCAACCACCTACAAATCCCCCTCCAAGTCCTCCCATTTGAGTGCATCATTTTTTCTGCTTCCTCTACATGGAATGAAGATGATTTTCCTCTACTCGAAGTTGGAAACTCTCGGGTTCCCATTTGCATCATGGTTGGAAAATTCCCAATCCTAAAACCGAAGAGATTTTCATGGAGTTGGAACTGACCATTGGAGATCTTCATACCCAAGAAGTCAATTTCGGACTCAGCGATTTTCGTTTTCTTTTTGGAGAGCATGATCCTATATTGAAGGACAATGGAATGAAATTGATGTAATAAAGCTGTGTGAAACACAAGGTCAAGGGAAAATAACAGGATATTGTCAATGTACATCAAAGCTGAAGATAATGAGGACATTAATCCTACCAAAGCTGGTCATCCCGACCATTACACAAGCCTCTTCAGGAAGTTGCTCAGCTAGTCTGATCCATAAAGTTTTGGAGAGAAAACCTTAATGATCCAATCGAACTTTAGAGGCTTCTATATGGCGAAGTACTTTGTTCTAGGGCATTTTGGTATTGCCAATTGGTAGGGGCTTCAATCGAAGGCGGAGCTAGGAGAGCCGTATAGCATGTTTCTTGGAAAACCTTTTCAAATACATATAACGATATTTTCATTTTGGTGAACGTTTTTTTAGGCAAACACTGACACATCAAATCTTCACATTTAACTTAAAGTTAGGGTGTTCACACACGTTTCCAAGAAGTTTTTCATGTTCTTCCAATCGATTGTGGAATGTTTTTTTTATAATTACATAGTTTATTAAAAGCACCATTTAAGAGTATATATTTTCGTTATTTAGGATTGATTATCACAACGACTGAAGAAATGGGAGCGAATGTGATCCATAGAATTAAGGCGGCGTAACTTCAGTGAAAAAGTGAGTCCGGAATACTGTGCGATAAACGAGTGCCTACTAAATTAAAAGTAAAGTTTTATGGAACTGGTATTAGACCAGCGATGTTGTATGAGATAGAATATTGAGCAACTAAGAAACAATATGTAGATAAAATGAGTGTTGCTAAATAGGTAAGAATAGTACCGATAAAAGATAAGTTGGGGGAGAATAGATTGAAATAGTTTGGTCATATATAATGGAGATCAATAGAGGCAGTAGTGAAAAGATGCAATACAATAATAGTAGATGGAAGTGTTAAACGAAATGGAAAACTTAAATTGACGTAAGTTAGTATAGTAGAGATATGAATCTCCTTAATTTGAGTAATCAAATGATCGTTGATAGAGTCAAGTGAAGAAGAACAATTCATATAACTAACCCCACCTGATAAGACTTAAAATTTAATTTGATTTGATTTACAATTTATCAAGAGCAATAGAGAAGTTTGGTACAGTTCACCAAGAGAGAAGTGTTGGACAAGGTCAAGCTTTTGTTTTGCAATTGCCTGGTGGTTCCATTTCCCAAGAGATCAAGAAGAGAAGATTCACATCATCAATACCATTAAGAACATAACACTTCTTTAACATATAATCACAATGGAGTTACTGATCTTTTCGCAATGTATTCTCCGAACTTGAGTGGGTATAATGATCAAATTGACCAAGGAATTCATTTTTCAACAACAATCATGTTTTTGGTTTCAATTTTTTAAATTAAATATTTTATTTTTGATATTTTTTTATTTTTAGTAAATATTTTTAAAATTTCAAGTAAATTTTTTTACTTTTTTAGATATATTTTACTTGAATGTATCTAAAAAGTAAAATATTTGTAAAAAAATATTTTAAAAAATCAATAAATACACAAAATTACGAAAAATATACTAAATTTTTATATTTTTTATAATTTTAGTATTTTCACAAATATTATACTATTTAAATATATTTATATTAGATCTATCTTAAAAAATTAAAAAGAAAAATTGATTAGAATATTAAAAAAATTCAATAAAAACAAAAATACGCGAAAGATTAAAAAAATTTAATTTTTTAATCCTAAAAATTCAAACCAAAACAAGCTGAATGACTTTACAATATTTAAATATTTAAGCCTTCAATTATCACTAGCAAATTTTTTTCCTTGATGCCACTGTAGATATGTTCGGATCTTAACTTCCACTAGGAAAAGGAAAATGTGAAGGAAATGAAAATGAAATTATGTATACACGTTTACTTTTCATTGATAACATATAAATATATAATTAAATTAAATTAAATTTAAAAAAAAAAACTTTTTATTTTCCTACTCATTTTCTAATTTAACTAAAAGTGGAAAAAAAATCAACTTCATTTTATTTCATATCATTTTCCTTTCCTCTTTTTTTTTTTCTCTACAAATTCAAAATTCAAACACAAGTAAGCAAGAATGCAGCAGCGGTTTTTCGCTTGTAGACTAATCACCTAGGGATCCTACTGTAAATCACAAGGTCATGTGGTGCCCCAATGGGAAATTTTCCTAAGTCTTTTTTGATGATTCAAACCATTTATATTATAGAATTTATTGAGTAGATCATTAATTCAAAAAATCAAATTGATTGAATATCTGTAACTTTGTGATGAGCACATTTGTATTGTATAAAAAAATGGTTAAATGATTTTGATAATTTTTTTAAAACAACTAGAATTGGATCATAGGGGTTACGGATTTTCAATTAAGTTGATTTTTTTTTACAAAAATTATATACTCAAACTCTACGAATTGAACGGTTCAAATCATTGAAAAAGACTTAGAAAAATCCCTCACTGAGACACCACAGGACCCTGCTGCGACAATGGTCACAACAGTATCCCGAAGTCCCCCTTTTTCGAGCAAATTGCAATCCAGGACGTTCCCAAATTTGCACAAAGTTGGCTATGCTAGCCCACAACGAACAACATTGTGGTATAGATTCTGTTGGAGCCTGGGCATAACGTGTGACCAATAGATAATATTTATAGTAAAGCATGTAGAACACTCGGTGCATGTATTCATAAGACCACTAAAACATGTAGCAATCCAAATTCCATACACAAATACACCTAATTTCTTAGAGAAATACACCTAGTTTCTCTTTGCCATAGAAACCTCAAAATGCAGAAACTATCTAGCCTTTCAGGAAGACCACAAGGTTGTGCACCAAACCAACTACTGTGAAAACAAGCTACTCCAAACACGACCATAAATCAATTCGCAAAGTATAATGCTTACATTATCAGCTTAATCCCAAAGAGATTTTCATGTCGATAACTAAATTGAAACAAAACCAAAACTAGGGTAGTCTCCCTTCAAGCACAAATTTGCAATCACAAATAGTGTCAAGGCGAGTTAATGATTTACCTTGAAACCCCAAATACCATTGTTTGCAGATTTGGTGTCATTCGCTGCAAAATGACATGAAGCCAAAAAAACAAAAACAAAATAACTCAACTCAACTCTTGCTAATCAAGTGATAGATGACTTGCATACTGGGCATGATGTTTTTCTTCTGAGCCATGGATCAATGCACTGCAAGAGTGGGAAAAAAGAAGTAAGATGATTCATGGTTAAAAGGAAATGAATAATAACTAGCAAAGATAAAAGTTGCTTACATCTTTGTGAAATTTATGCAAGCAAGGGAGATGACGTATTGCGTCTCCCAAGGTTGGTGTTTCAAGACAAATTGCACAAGGTTCTTCAAAATCACCCTACAAAACACAACAGATCAGCAAACTCTCTCTCTCTCTCCCACACACACACACACACACCCACACCCCTGTATAGGTATGAATGTATATTACCTGAACTGTTGACTGTGGCAAGCTATTAATTTGATTGACAGATGCACCACCATGCTCATGATTGTTATCATCGAGCGCCAACAATGTTTCATAATCATTTCTGGAAAACGGTAAAAATTAAAAATTAAAAAACGAAGGAATTGGCTATAAATAACTGTTCATACTTTCAAAACCTAAAACAAACAGAAACAAAACATAAACAAGAAGCCTCAATCAGTTCGCAACATTAAGAGAACAAATTGTCCCGTATGTTTTTTCCTTCAAAACCCATATACATTGTTTATAACGGTAATTTCAAAGGGTAAAAAATATAAAAAAAAATTCATGAGACATCCTTTTTGGGTGAGTAAAAAAAATTTCATGATACATCACAAAAGTTACTTGCAGATTATCTATACAAGCAACACATAATTTCAGTACTTGTGCTTAATGACACTATTCTAGCATCGTAAGTTACCATAGACATGAAGTGTAGGAATTTTCACACTGAATGTAGTGGCCTGGTTACATGACTCCATTGCGTAATTTAACTAGATGCAAGTAGATAGCACAATGAATTAAAAGTAAAATAACCAAGAGAAGAAGGGGGGGGAAAAAAAAAAAAAAGCAAGGTCAGCAGTCAAAGGGGCTCACAAGTGGCAACAAATTCAATAGGTAGCTATCACAAGAAAATTTTGAATTTCACCCACAATTGGTTACCATCACAACTGATATTGGTTACTCCAAGGTAAACATGAAAACAGCAATTTTAAGTATAAAGTTGGAAATTTTTTCTTGCGGCACTAAACTGGGAGTCTTAAGATGCAAAAATCCATTTCTCGAAGGAACAGACTTTGCTCGTCACTAAGGTGGCCACAACCTGTAAGAACTTACAAGTTACAACAAATATGTCAATAGGTGGAAGAAGTTAAATGTCTTCCACCTATTGAATACAGATTTCCAAAATCTACGAATATTTTCTTGGGATAGACATTTACTAGATCCAAGGACACTTATTTCACTCATCTTTCTCTTCAATATATTGAAAGAAATGAGCTAGGTTGTAGAACCTAAACAAACTCCTCTATAAAGAGTCATTGAACAGTAGAAGTGCTTTATTTGATGCTGAAGGCCCTAGATAATTGTGGAAAAATATGTAATTTTTGCATACTCATCTGAAATTGATATGAAAATAGTGCAAAAACAAAAGATTGATCCATCAATGCTCCAAGAGCATCAGATTTGGAAGCAGTGTACAGAATGGGAATATCTAAATACACATGCTAAATTTCTCTCTACACCCATACTCTTTTTAAGGTACAAGGGTTTCTTCCTAAAGGATTGCAACACATGTGATGGGTGTAGAGAGCAATTTAATACATACAATTTATTCTCTCTCTTTCTCTATACATTATTTCTTACAGGATTGCAACACATGTGATGGGTGTAGAGAGCAATTTGGTAAATGTATTTAGAAGTCCCACACAGAATTCTTTGGACCTTTTGAGTTGGACTTACAACACTCAAATAAACATCTATATTAACCAAGGTTTATGTTTTATCTCTGAGAGAGATTCTCATGCCACACAGGATAGTGTCACTCATAGGCGCACTATCCTGCTTTGGGGATGCAATCACGAGAATAAACTATTATTTGTCTATCATAGCATTAGTAAAAAGACAATAAAAAAACTATGAAAAAATATTTATTAAACATATTAAGAGCTCAGAGAATGTAGGCTTGCAATTATTTTGTTTACTTTTTCAAATTATTTTGGAGTTTTTTATTTTTAAAATTTTTTGTCTTTAGTAAACTTTTTCAGATTTTTCACAAATATCTTATTTTTTAAGTACATTTATTTTTTTTACTAAAATATGAAAAAAATCACTAAAAACAAAATACATATGTAAAAAAATTAATATCTGAAAAACATTATAAAAAAAAAAATCTAAAAAAGTTTACTAGACAAAAAAATAAAAAAGTATATTAATTTTTTTAAATTCTTTTACAAATAATTTTATTTTTACATTATTGAAAAGTTTAACTAAAATATGGGGAAAAAAAATTAATAAAAGACAAAGAAACATGAAACTAGTGGCTTAGTATTAAGATTGATTTCCTTGACCATGGTTAAGTCCCACGTTTCATTAACTAACCCAGTCAAATACATGTGGCATCTTTTTCCAACAAACAAAAATCAATAATGAACAAGGAAATACAAATAGATCACAACATAAAAATAATACTTATATATTGACCTAACGTTGAACTTAATATAAATCAATCAAAATACAAAAAAAAAAACAACTTACTCATTGAATTCACGGTCAGCTTGAAGGAAGTTACCAGCCATTCCCATATCACTAAAGGCCTCTAGTGCTTCCAATATATGGATTCTCTGCATTACATAAAAAATGTATCAGTATTTACTTGAAACTAACATGAACATGCATACATCTACTACCTTCTTAAGCTTTAATAGCCAAAACGAAACCACAGTAAGAAAGAGACATTTTCATGGTCAGATGACCCACCAGATCTTCAAAATAACATTCAAAAATCAAATTATGGCATCCATTTTCTGCTGTCTAGGACCTCCATACAAACATTACAAGTCAAAACATTTTTATTGAATTACAAGTATCCAAGCCCATGCTCCTCAAAGCATTTGACGTAAGGAGCATTGTGGCAGTAGTTTCAACTGCAGACATAAAGTCCATGTGCTTCCCTTTGAGCAAGAGGAAAATAAAAAAATGAATTTATTAGGAATTTGATGAAAGATGGAATGATGAAAAGAGAGCCTTTAGAAAGAAAAGAACAACAAATATGTAAAAAAATAAAATAAAAAATTTTTAACAGCAAGGTCAACAAATAAGAAGTTCTAATCTCTAACAAAATATCAGGGAGACCCACCACTCATCCCAAAAGCCGTGGCTAGTGGAAGAAGGTGATTCAATCCCTTTAGTCAAGGTGGGAGCCACTTCAGCACGGGGTGATGCTCCATACCTAGGATGCTCCTGCATCACACATCCACACTGGAAGAGTTTCGAACCCGAGACCTCTTGCTCTGATACTATTTGATACAGGGAGACCCACCATTGATCCCAAAAGTCACAGCTAGTGGGAGGAGGTGAATCAATCCCTTTATTTCATAGTCCAGCTTCCAGTCAGTCGGGGTGAGACCCACTTCAGTAGTGTGATGCTCCCCATCTCACCTTAGCATGGCTCCACACATAGGATGCTCCTGCATCAATATCCTCGAGAAATGTCAACATCCACAATGGCACTAGAAAGCTTACAATCATGTTTGAGAATTGGTCCAAAATTCCATTTGCAATAACAACAGTCTGCTTAGCATTGAGAAAGATTGCAATCCAACTATACTGCAACCCCAACTCTAGTTGGCCCATCTTTAGAAGTTTAAATCACCATTTCCAACATCCTCTTTTATCCTAATTCCCATCAATCCCTGACCTTTTTCCTTTGAAGAGTCGAATTCCATAGATCTAGATAAAACAAAATATTCAATTCCAAAAAGGCCAAGGAAGCACTAACATTTTTTCAGTTTCAACTGGGAAATAAAATGTGTCATCGTCAAGTATAATCAGTATCCATTTCCTTCAGTTACTTCTATTTGTAGTCATATCCTCAGAAAGCAGTAAGAATGATGTCAATAAGTAAAATACCATGGAAGTTTTTAGTGACCAATGCCCACTATGAAGCAGTCCAACTTACCTAGCTCGCTGCTAAGTTGATCAGAATGTTATTATATGCTCGTAAATACTTTTTATTGTTCAAGTAACGCACAAACAAGCCATGATATCACCATCCTTTAGTAACAGACCCAGGCCATATTTGATATCCGGATTAGATTGACCAGGATCATAAGTACAGTCCAATTGACTGATGGGATTACTACTGTGGTGGTATTAGGTTGAAGATTGCATTTGTTTGTTCACGTTTGTCTCGCTTATTTGGTTGGAACTAAAATCTATGAAATTACGTAAAAGCCCTCAATTACATATGAGGTGGCTTTGTTTTTTTTTTTTTTTTGTGAAGTGGAGGCAAAATAGTTTTTCAACCTCTAAATCCAACGGGATAGGAATTGCATGGGAATGCTAATCCCACCCTTCTTGGGGATTCATAGTCTCATGGGACTCTAAGTCCAATCCCATTTTTCACAACCAAACATGACTTGTGTGGGCCCACTAGATTGCTAATCTAACCATGGCCTATGAAGGTAATCAAACATGCCCCCAGAGTATTAAAACTGGAACCTTTGGTGAAGAAATTTTGATACCCCTTGATGACAGCATACTTGTGCAGTTGTGCTTACAACTCCAAACAAAGCATTCCTTTCAGTAAGCTGTAAGAAGATAAATATGGTCTAGCCATAGTGTTTCATTTGTAGGTATCACACACACCAGCGACTAATTGGCTTTTGTTTCCTTCTACATTTGAGCATCAAAGCTGCCATGCAAAAAATTGCTTCCATCTAAAACGACATAAACTTCCAGGGTACATTGGTTGGGAACATAGGGGAAGATAGGACCAACAAACTAGAGAAAAAGTTTTACCAGAGACAAAACCTCAAGGATCAGGGGAATATAATAGGTACATAACTCACACCATCAAAAGTAACTTAGATAGTCTTAAAAATAGTAGTACTTGAAAAAATAGAAGGGGCTCAATCACAAAGAATTCATATGATAATTAGTCCTCGCGGAAAGGAAAATAGCAAGACTGTGAGTACCATTCTAATACATGAGGTAATCCAGAACTGAGTCAGTTTCTGTCCAATTTTTAACAATGCATCTAATTGAATATAATAAGCCTTATGAACCCTAGTCAAAATAGCAGGAAAAGCTTTCAACCATCCAAAATCATAGTACCCAATTTCATTGATCTTGTTTTCTGAACTTACATGGCCTCAAAATTTGACAAAATCTATTACTTACAGAAAAAAAGCCTAATTTGAAGTTGAAGGTGAATTCTAAGTATGATCTAGCAAAACCAACACATTGTTTCAAAAACAAAAAATAGTAAAATAGATAATAATTGCATGGTAAACAACAATAAGATCAACTAAAAATTATCAACCATCTCTTCAATTCATAACCCCACATCATATCAAGGCATCCAGGTAACAAAAGAATGAAACTTAAAAGAGAATACATAATGTAATAGAAATTAGGAACAGAGATACCATGTCCAAATCCATGTTCGGAGGAAAGAGGGAACTTTCCGTATATGATATTCTAGGCAACTGGCTAGGTAAACGGCTCCTCAACCGTGTCAACCTACCAGAGGCAGGACCTCGAGCATGAGTGCCTCTACGGATTGAAGGGTTCTGAGAGGACTGTGATTGAGAATGTCTATAGAAATTTGAAAATAATGAGCCGCTCTGCATACAATGCAAACAATAATCTTTTAGGATATAACACAAGATATTTACACAGAATTTAATTAAAAATATCCAGGAAAACAAGATGATGACTATTGGAAGATTAACACAATAATAATTACAAAACCAAAATATACAGCTTTAAGGATAGAGAAATTGCTTTCACATCTTACATTAATATTACTAAGCATAGAAACCAGACAGCATGATATTTAAAATATAATTTTTCCTAGCTAGAATATCCATTTGCCAAACCTACAAATAATTGTTCTGAGAGCAGCAAAAAGTGTATTCAAAGCAGTGTCGAAAATTAGAAAGTGGTTGAATCTCAAATTAGGACCAAGGACCACAAATTGTTGAGTTTTTAATCATTATGCACTCTTACTCTATGAAACAAGGACACCTCTCCGAAGGTCATGTACGGTGTCGGACAGCAAGTAGTTTTTAATCATTATGTACTCTTATTCTATGAAGCACGAACACCGCTCTGAAGGTAACGTAATGGTGTCAGACATAGACATGCTCTAGGCACGTGTCAGAGACATTGAAAGGAGTCAGACACACTTGAAACACGTTGGGGACCAATTTTTTCAGATTCCACCTCCCCTCCCCCCAAACCACCAAAATAGCATACTAAGGTTGATTAATTTGATGAGAATAAATATTTAACATAGAATAAATATATAATATTCAAAAATATGATATAATAATTATAAAAAAAAATTATATGCTTTGCACGTGTCCTCAACATATCTTGTCCTACACTTTTGAAAGCTTATGTATCCGTGTCGTGTCACATGTCCATGTCCGTGCTTCATAGCTCTTCAAGGTTATTTATGTTAGTTCTAGTCAATTTTCTACATGATTTTAATGTTTCATATGCTAAGGTGTTTTGATAACTTGCAACTTTTTAAGCATGGGCTATATGGATCACCCATGGGTCAAAATATGGATCATATTATTAGGGCTTGATATATGTTTTTAGTAGGTTTTAGATGTTGAAGTCATTAGCTTCCAATTTTGAAGTCGTAATTCTTTTAGAATCAAGAGTTTTCGCTCTGCCTATATAGAGGTTATGTAATTCTTCTTATTCAATGAAGATGAGTTTAGAGAGTTTTCAAGAGATTTTGAAACTTCTTGGGGATTTTGTGATGCAACCCTGAATCTTAGGAATGATGCCTAAGGAAATTTATTAGAATAAAAAGTATTTCTCAAACTAAATTTCCTTATTCAATGAAAAATGAATTTACAGAATTTTTAGAGCTTTTTGAAGCTTCTTGGGGATTTTGTGATGCAATTCTTAACCCTAGATGTGATGCAACAGTAGTAATGCCTGCATTTTTTGTACATTTTAATCCCTTGAAAGGATAGAACAAGATCTGTTTCAACACCCTTTTCCAACTGCTAACCTAGTTATACAAGCCAAAGCCACACTTTCTTCAATTTTTGAACCATAAAGCACAAAAATAAACATAACCAGTTAACTTACTGTTCATGGAAGCCCCTGAACAGGCTCAAAATCCCACCTATTCACGTGCAAATCCTTACCCTTTTGTTGCCCCCATAAAACACTAGAAAACCATTATCGGCCCAACAAACCACTTTCACTGCTTTCCAGCATTAAATATTTGATGGAGCAAACACAACAATTGTTGTTTGAACTCAGAAACCAGCCAAGAGTCAGTCAAGAAATAATTAAATCAAAATCAAAAGTTGTCTAAGTAATAAATGAGTTAAAGACTCAAGTCTTGCGAAATTGGGAATCACAACGTGCATGATATTTCTTGGGAATCTTGAAAATACGAATTTATTTTCTAGAGTTCTTCTTAAGTCTATTAAGGGTCTCAGGGACTGTTATATAGGGTAAGTCTGGTTTTGAATTTTCATTGTAAAAGGCTGAGGTGGTAGTTTCTTATTGAGCATCTATTGAGTAGTAGCTTGGTTGTAACTTGTATCCTTTGGGCAGCAAGCTTTTCCACCAAGAATCGAAGCCTCTTTTAATTATTCTCTCAAATTTTATACTAGTTAGTTTTTCCTTTGTCCTTGCTATTTAGATCTTTATTTTCTTCTTCCAAGACATCAAATCATTAGCCTTTTGGGCTGCATCACTATTGGGCTCCCTTTCGTAGCAGAGTGTTCTCTACATTTGTATAAATCATGTACCATCCACTAGTTGACTAGCACAATTGACAAAAAGTCGATTACTTATGGCTTACGAATTCCGCATGTAGAAAAAAAGTTGTAACAATGCACCATGTTTACTTTTCATTTTACATTGAAAGCTTTACGGTCTTAATTAGTATGGAACTATTTATGTATTAGAATATTATAATTTTATTTTCTTGAAACTCAGTAGTATCTTCTGAACCCCTAAAGAAGACACTATTGAAGAAAATAAAAATCATCATCTAAGAATTGATGTTGCAACTCTTTGATGGCAACAACTACACGTGTCGAATTAGTAAATAACAGGAGTCTTGGACTATCAATCAGTAAATATGTATTCAGATAACCACAGTTTCTTATATTTATTCCTCCCCACCCACCAAAATAAAACCCCACACTAACACACTGAAGACCACACAGCATCACAAAATCAAAAACGGGTTGTGGGCTACGATTACATTACATATAAAGATCCCTACTTACAGGATGGAAAACAGGGTGACTTCCACTAGAAAACACATTGTCCTCATGTTGCCATGCCAATGCTATGTCTGTATCAATCTGTTGATAGGTAAATAAATTATTCAGAAAAATACAAGAAAAAAGAATTAAAGGGTAATAAAGCATCTAGCCACAAGTTAATAAAAAATATAGTAGAGCAAAGGAACAAACTTCGCCATCTCCAACTCCCGGTGCCTCATTATATAATTGTTCTTGGAGCTCACGAGCCAACATCTCATCTGCTTCAACTTGTCTAGCCCTAGCATCTGAGTCATCATTACTACCACTACCTATATTGTGGGACCCAATGTGTCTCATTTCAGGAGAGAATTCATCAATTTCAATAATGGGGTCCAAAATGCTCGGACCATGACCATTCTGGTTTCTGGTTGATCTTGAATTTGATGGCTCTCCTGATGAACCAAAAAACACTATTTCTGAGTCAAGAGAGGCAGATGTAGAGCTTCCACCATGATTACTTGAGGAAGAGCCCTGCCTCTGTCTTTTGACCAGAATGCTTGTGGGAGCACGACACCCACTAACTTGATCCGACTGCAACATGAGGCTGGACATTCCTTGAGCTGCAGTTGAAGCAGAACCATGCTGGAAAGAGACTGCATTCTGGTCTTCATGATAGTCAGTACCCATTCTGTTACTACTTCCATTCCCATTATATCTTCTCAACACCTGGTTTTCATTTTGTTGATTGACAAAGCATGGATCATCCTTTGTCTTGGAAACATGTTGACCCTCATTGGACAAGGGAACATTTATTTTCTTTGTGCGGTTACGTGTACTTCTCCACCCACTTATTCCTTCAAAACATCTGACTGCATCTCCACTGGAATTACTAGTTCCACTAGCCTCTTCATTGTGAGCTAATGAACTCCTGCAAGTATATATAATAAGATGATGCTTTGAGAGAGAGAGAGAGAGAATTCATGCACCAAGACCTCTAACAATAACAGTAGGAAGAGGTCTTAGTTTGAAAATTGGAAGTGTCAATTACAAGCCACATAAGGTTTCCATCAAGTTACTGCACCAGATGTCGAACAATGTATTCAAGGTTTCTTTTTTCACCCTTTTCTGGTCCAATTGGAATGAGAAATTATAACATTTATAAAAGCTACGTCAAAATCTAATTTATTGCCTGCCATGGGGAAAAGAAACTAAGAAACTATCAAATTAGAAGAGGCACACTGTTTATGAAAATTTGAGAGAAGAACCGCTTCCATTTATTGAACACAAAAACATTAAAACCATGAATAGAATCAGCCAGTCAACAACCATTCAAGGAGCTCTCAATCCCTTATTCAACAACAGGTTCTGATACTCAGAAGTCAGGTTCAATAAGATCACATGATATTGAACAAGAATACAGGAGAATCAAATGACAAATGGAAGCATTTAGCCAGGAAGGACAGAGAACGTTAGATTATATTCTTAATATTCTTTGGCGGATTAAATCTGAAAAATAAATCAGCAGGTAGATGTATGGTTATGGTTGGAAGAGAAACATTTAAAACAATAGAAACACTATACACAGTGATGATTAGCAAGTGGTAGAAGAAGTAGTGAATAGAGAAAAAAGAAACAGAAGCATGAAGCAATGGGTGGCAAGTGATAAGTAAAACAACCAAGCTGGTTTAGCCATCAATAAAGAAACAGAATTTTAGAGAATGGATTCATGTCGGCACCCTTTATACAGAAATTTGAGAATTGAGATTTATGAAAAGAGAATAACTTGAGATTAAAAGGAAATAGGTACATGAAAAGGATATTGAAACTTTTTACATTACAACACTTACTATGGCTCTACAGAAGAGAAGAAAATAGACTTCTTGAACCATAAGTAGAATAACTTTTCATGGTCTTGAAAAGAAATAAAGCTCCCTCTTCATATGTCTGTCTCGTCCATCTCTCCAGATTTGGAGGGGAGCAAACTAGAGAAACTAACTCTCACCAATACTTCTCTATGGTTGCCTTCTTGTCACAAAAACCTACAGTGCATGATTTGACAATTCACAGGGATATTTGAATCATAAAATTGACATCACATGATTTGCTAAAGCTATTGTTCTTTCAAACTTATGACCCTACATTGATCTTTTAAAACCCAACACCTTGACTATATTTCATAAGATAAGTGACTACTGAAAATTTTGATGCAGATTATGAATCCGACATTGATTTAGTTAAAGTGTTAACCCATGTGAGATTTACATTCATTAATGTAACTTTGTTAGGACATTAAATAGTATAACAAAATAATTCTTAATAGCTAATTATTACTTGAATGAAATTTAGATGACCCAAAATTTTAACCCAAACAATTGTTATACTAAAGTCAACTATTTTGACAAATATTGTGGGATGAAACCTTTTAAAAGTAATCTTAAAAATTTCTACGCTAACTACTTTAGTAAGTAGACTACAGAATTGAGTAATTTAATCGTATAATTTTGGTTAAAACAAATAGTCGGCTCCCATATAATAGTTAGAAATGTTAGTTGAAGCAAAATTGAACAATGACTTCCTGAATGAAAATTATACCCTTACATAACCTGGTCTTTTAACTATTATTGAACTATCTCAGTTAAGAACTACTAAAATACAATGTATTTAACTTTCAAATTTGTTCAACTCCAGTCCAGTTAGATTATTATTTTTTTGCTTTCTTAAATATTGTAGCACATTCTAAAACCATTTAACATGTAAAATATGTATTTTCACTAATATTTTTAGTTATTACAAAGAATAACAGTGTGCAATTTGCCCTCGATCATGCAATTTTCAGTACTTCCTCAGAGGTAGAGAGAAGAGAGTAGAGAGAATTCAATGTCACTTCAAGTTTTATGCCGAATTGTCATAACCAACAATTGCATAAATCTATATTAAATCCATGTGATGAAGGAAGCACAAAAAATTGGAAAATCCCATACTTTTTAAAAGGATCAGAGAATCCTGCACATTGTAAAATTTTAAATTCCATATACCCAACATTTGTGTGGAAGAACACTACTAATGTAGAAAAATCACGAGAACTGTACAATCATACCTTACAAGCTTAGGAAGTGAATACTACCTAACAGAAATAAGACAGTTATCTAGTGAAACGGTCCAAACTCAAGATTCAGACAAATCAAACATAAATTGAATGAAAACAAATTATTGGAGAAGAGGGAGGTGTTCATGAAATTGAGAGAGAGAAAGTATTCAACTGAGATCTCTAATATCCTACATAATTCTTCAATAACTATATGTACCAATCAAGATTAGTTACAAATTCTTATTCCTTAACAAAAAAAATAATAAAGGTAAACTGCAATTTAACTTAAACAGATCTCCACTGTAAAATGAAGTACCTGGAAGACAAATCTACGGTTTTTGCATCAACTTTTTTTGATGAAGAAGGATGATGTATAACCCCTTGTCCTCTATGAGAATTATCATCTTCAGCCATCAAATCTCTAATCAGACCCGATGAGCAACCCAATACTGGAGTTCCCTTATCATTTTGTACATCCATGGAACCATTACTGTGATTTTCACCAAACTGTTTGGCTTTTGCTATATTATGTGGAGAGATACATCCATTTCGCACTAATCTTTTTTGTCCACTGACTCTAGTTAAGGGAATAGAGAAAAAAGATGGAGACATACTCTTTCCAGCTTTAGCTTGAGAAACACCAAAGATTCCTTTTCCACGGCCAATACCTGAAGCTCCTTTACAAGGGTCATCTATTTTTTCTTTTCCTTTACAGCCATTGTGCGCTGTCATTGAAGAATTTGCTATGCCAGGTAAAAAAGGGAAGCCATTGGTTGATACTGGTCCTTTTCTAATTTCTTTAGCTTGATGATCTTTCAATGCTCCATTTGGGAAAGCATTTTGGGATACTCGGGCAGGACCACTCTGCTCTGTCAAATCTACAACAGCATTTTCAATACAGGCATGTGAATCAGAAGTACACAGAGCTTTCCCATTCTCTTTATGTTGAGAATGCAAAAAATATTTGTTCTCACGATTGGAAGTCTTGTCTGCCGCCGGTGTCCTAAACCAATGAGCATTCTTGGAAGAAGATGAATTCCCCAAGGAAATTGCGAAATCACCATCGCACTCAGATTTGTTGGAAATACTAAGATTTTTTCCCGAGTGAAAAGGAAGCCTTCTGCTGTGCCCATTATCAATGACAAGTTTACTCCTGTCCCTTGGCCGATTTCTAGTTGCTTCATCAAAAAAATCAGTGTTTCCTGAATGAGTAGGCACTGATGAATCACTTTCTTTTTCAACACAATCTCTGCCATTAATATTCTGTGATCTACCAGGAGTATCAGGAACATCGAATACCTGATCAATGTCCATGTAATCCGTGTTCTGTACAAAATTCCAGACAGTCTCAATAAAAAATAAGCAACAACTGTGACTAATAATCAACTTCATGTTCATTACAAAAGTTATTTAGTCATTATATAAATATCATACCAAAAGTAAACATAATAGATGATAGCACTAAAAACACAAAACACAAAGAATAGATATACACTTGTCAATTGTCAGTAGTCTATAAATAGATACACAAAGTGAAATCAATTAAATGATTTTTTTTATTAGTAGAGGAAATGGTATTAAAAAATGCCAAAGAGGAGGGCACAACCTATGTACAAAAAGGTACCCGTATCAATCAATTAAATGAATATGTATCAGGTAGCAAGAGCATTATCATATAGAGAGCACTTCATGGGAATGGTTTGCTACAATCATCTGCAGAAGCAAGAAGACAGCTCATGCATACCAATTTCATACTGTCCTTGATAAAGTTATAATCCATGTAAATACATTTATAAAAGCTTTTAAAACAAATGTATCTTGGTACCCATACAATGAGAAAGAAAGAAAGAAAGGGGCAAAAAAACTCGACAACAGGAGTAGATCCAGAGGCCAAAAGCATTTTAAGTCCCCCACGTTTTAAGAATAACACTTCATATAGGTTGAAATGGAAAAGATTCCAGTATGATCGTTATCGACTTCAAAAAGGCATATAAGGAGAAGTTGAGGATACGCACAAATGATATTCAAGTGAGAAAAAATAGCACTTATAGTTATAATATGCACAACAAAAAATGATGAAATGAAACAGTGACAAGGAAGATGTACGCCCAATTACAACGTCTTCAGAGCTAAGTTGAGGAAGACATTTTCTACACAGCATATGCATGAATTGATCACCACCTAAAGGTGTATCTTGTTTTGCTCGGGTCATTGACCTCAGCAAAGGGATTTCAAAGTTAAACCAGCACAAAATATGTCATGGACCAAGTATCATTCGTTGAAAAATGCAAAAAAGATGATGCAAGAGATACCTCAAATCAATGACACTACATTTGAACCAATGATGCACAATGAGCAAAGATTAGGGAAAATATGGTCCGTCGGGTTAAACTGAGTTGTAAAACATACTATCCCTCAAAGTCTCAGAGCACAAGAGAAAGTGAAAGCAGAGTGAGAAACCCATCCAAAGCAAGAGAGAAAGAGAGAAAACAGTTGCTGTTAAGGTGTTCAAAATTCAAAAGCTCTAGGGTATATATGAAGCTTCATTGCTTACACACACATGAGAAATTTCACACTTCAAAATAAAATTCTTGGGCTCACTTGCCATGGTTATGAAGTTTTTTTCAAAATTGCACTGCTTTCTGGTCTTTCTCAGTTGTTTATGGATACAAAATTTTCAAGATCCATAAAAACTGCTTTCAAATGTTTATTGAGAATGAACTATTCTTAAAACACAATATTCAAAACTCCCACCAAATTTGCTTTAACACCACTTCATTTTTTACAATTTTCAAAGAAAAAAAATCAAAATGCACAGTAGATATTTCTTCCTTCTATAGATTAGTAAAAACAATCTCATCAAATGCCAAAGCACATCCCAATCTATTTTTTTTTTTTACTATTATTTAAAAATAAATAAGGGAAACAACCTAAACCACACAATTCGATTAGGGCAGAAATTAGATTAAAAAAAACCAAAATTCCAAAGAACATAAAATCAAGTAAGCAAAAACAAAACAAAAAACTATCCAATTCAAGATTTTGAGAATCAAAGCAAACCCTTATATGAATAATCAGATTAGAAAGCAAACAGAGATTGAACCTTCAATGGGTTTTGCTGATCCTTCAAATCCATGACAGAGAGAGAAAGAAACTCAAGAAGAATCTAGGTTTGATGTGTGTCAAGAACCAGAGGGCATACAACTATTGCCTCCTCTCTCTCCTCACTCTCTCTCTCTCTAAGTTATCACAGCGCTGCTGTGCTGCCATTGTGATGATGAAGATGATTTTTAGTGGCAGTTAAATGCACGCGCGTATAGAGAGCGTGAAGTGTATTTTGGGGAACACAAGTCACGCTCTGATTTGTCTCAAAATGTTTATGGTGAATCCCCGTAGCATAGAAACAGTTTCGCCTTGTTTGGTTTGTTTTTTAGGAATAAATTTTGAAAAAAATTTTCTAAAATTTTGTTTAGTTTAGCAATTTTGGAAAAAAAAAATTCAAAAATCACTTTCTATGTCATACATATTAATCAATTACTTTTTATTTCTCCTCTTTCTTACTTAATCACTTTTTTTTTCATACACATATACTCAATTACAACAAAATATCAAATCATCTCAAACTTTCATACTCCAAAACTATTTTCAAAATATACAACCAAACAAATTAAAAAAATTCCTAAACTATTTCCCAAATTTTGTTTTAAAAATTTATTTCTCAAAACCAAACCAAACACACCTTTAGTTGTATTTTCTTTTCTTCTTTTTTCCCATAAATTACAAATACACTCCTTGAGATTTACTTAAATTTGAAATTACTCATTGTGGTTTTAAAAATTATATTATGCCCCCTAAGGTTTCTAATTTCTTAATAAATAAGTCATTTTATTAATAAATCATCAAGTTAATTGACGGTTTTTAATAATGTTAAAATTTTATTTCAATTAATAATTTAAAAAAATTTATTATTGTATAGGTGAACAGTTAAAAAATTCACATTTTCAAGTAATTCTGTTAAATAAAAAAGTTTGACTGAGAAGTATTTGTAATTTTCCAAACCACGGGGAGCAATTCATATTTTAAGCAAACCTCAGGAGGTGTATTTGCAATTTATCCCTTTTTTTTAACAAAAATATGCTTGGTTTATTTTTATTTTTTTTATTTAAAGTGAGTTTTTTTATTTTTTAATCAAGGGTAAATTACAAACATACCCCTGGATATTTACTTAAATTACAAATTATCCATGTGATTCTGGAAATTAGATTATGTCCCTAAGGTTTCTAATTGCATAATAAATAGGTCCTTTTATTAATAAATTATCAAGTTAATTAACAATTTTTAATAATGTTAAACTTTTATTTCAATTAATAATTCAGATAATTTTATTATTGTATAGGTAAACAGTTAGAAATTTTCACTTTTTTAATTTATTCTATTACATAAAAAATCTTGACATTGAGGTATTTGTAATTTTTTAAACTACAAAGGGCAATTCGTATTTTAAATAAATCTCAAGGATTATATTTATAATTTACCCTTCAATCAATTATTCTTTTAAAAAGTAAAATATTTATAAAAAAAAAAAACCCCTAAATCCCCAAAAAGCAAAGAAGGGTATGTAAAAAAAACTTTTAGATTTCTTCACAAATATACTATTTAATTTCTTCTCTTTTGAGGACCGAATATTTTAGTTAAAAAGTTAAAAAATTAATATAAATTGTTATATCACTCTCTTTATAATTTTACATATCTTTTGATAAAAAAATCAAAAAGTAACTAAAATAATTAATTTCCAAAGGAGGTTGCCTTTATTAAAAAAATTTATTTACACTAAGGCCAAGTTTGGCATACTTGAAAAAAGATAAAAAGTCAAAAAGTCATTATTCTATTTAAGTCACATCATCTTATTTAAGTCACATCACCTCTCTAACACATCACTTCAAACTCAATCTAAACTCAACCCATATTTCATAAAAAGTCAAAAAGTGCACTTATTTAGATCATCCCAAACAACCCCTAAAAGGAGGAAAAGAGAGAGAGGGGTGGGGAGAGAGAGGGAGAGTAATATTTATTAGGATAAATTACAAAAAAAAATAATTTTTAATTTTTTCAATTTAAATTCTAATTTTTAATTTATTTTTAATATAAATCATTTTTTATTTTTATTAAGTGAAATTGACTAAAAAATTATTGTTGAGTCATTAAATTTAACAAAAACATATATATTTTAGTTTAATAACTAAAATATTGTTTTTCTGTCAATTTTGTTTGATGATAATAGGCGAATAATTAAAATTAAAAACAAATTAAAATATTAAAGTTTAAGGTGAAAATTTTTAAAATTTAATATTTATTTTATTATAATAATCAAATCCTGGAGGTTTTTTTTATTTCTTAATATTCCCTATTTATTATTTTATATAGGTCTAACACGACCCTTTTGGATAGATAGAGTTTTGGACTGGGCTTCTATAAACCCATCAAGTTAAACCCCACGAGTCTGACCGGGCCTGGCCTGACCAATGGGGCTTGGGTTTATCAAAGAGGCTTGAATAATACAATATAATTATTTAATTATAATGAAAAAAGTGATGAAATAAGATTTGAAAATTTATTTTTGATCATTAAATGGTGTCGGAAAGATAATTCAGAGGGGCTCTAACCATCATAAGGGTGTGTAGAATAATCTCCTAACAAGAAACTAATAATTCGGTCTAGATTATTGATTTGTCCCTCTAAGTGGAGAATTTTAGAACGTGTATACGTATAATAAAAAAGTTAATTTTTTTGTAATGAAAATTACAAGTATTTATAGTGTGTATTGTTATTTTAATTTTTAATAGTTAAAAGTTATTATAAGTTGTCATATTATTATTTTTTATTTTTTATGTAAAAATTAAGAAACAAAAATAGTAAAAATTAAAAAACCAATTAAAATAGTTACTCTTTTCGTTCCAAAATAATAGTCATTTTTGAGGAATCTAACTTTTTATGATAGTACAATTATTACACTTTAACAAAATTGATTTTTCAAAATTATCATTTGATAGTATATTTTTGGACAAATTACATATACCTCCCTCGAGGTTTGGCTAAATTACAGATACCCCTGAGGTTTCGGAAATTATATCCCGCCCCCTGAGGTTTGTATTTTCATAAAAATTTGCCCCCTGAGATTTATATTTCATAACAAATTACCCCCTAATTTGTTATGCAAATATAGTATTCAAAGAGAAATTTGTAATTTCTCAAACCTCATGGGGTATTTGTAATTTAGCAAAACTTCAAGGGGTATATGTAATTTGCCCTATATTTTTTTAAGAAATATCAATTGTTATAATTGTACTTTTTATGTTAATGAATTTAAAATAATGGTAAAATAAAAAATTTATATTATCTTTGTCCTTAATTTTTAAAAAATGACTAATATTTTAAAATAATAAAAAATAAAATAAAGTAATAATATTTTGAAATAGAGTGAGTGATTTTTAAATGAGACCTAAATTTATTTATAGTGTATATACATCATAAAGTTACCGACCGCACAGTGAAAATATTTTATAATGAGAAAAATGATGAAATTTTGATATTTATGTTATGAAATTTAGGCGCAATATTAATTATGTGCTTCCAAATACACCTGTCATTTTTTACTTCACACCTACTTGTGTGCTTTGCAAATCATATTTTATTCTGGAAAATTTAAAGAAAAAGATACAACTATGACCAGCCTAGATTTTGAAATACTAGGAGTAGTATACGCAATAAATAAATTTAGATTATGTTTGCACAAACCTTTTACAATAAGGACAGATTGTGAAGCCATAGTTAGATTTCATAACAAACTAAACGAGCGTAAATTAAGTACTAGAAGATGGGCAAAATTTTTAGATTGTATAATAGGACAGGGATATAAAGTAGAATTTTAGCATATTAAAGGAAGCGATAATAAATTAACGGACTGGTTAAGTAGAAAAATTTATTTAGAAAAAGAAGATAACCAGTTTAATTTTTGTGCAGATAATGGAGAATAGCAAGACCATGAACTTTGGGGGATTTTCTCTTCCCATTCATGAAGGCAGAACCAAGTTCAGACCCTTAACATGGATTGAGCTAGACCCAGTTCAACAGTGTCTTTTAGATAACCTTTGGACCAGCCAAAACCACCCAGCTAAGCGCCTTTCAGCCCTAAACTCTCTCAGTATATATTTTCAAAAATCCAAAACAAGCCCCTGTCTAAAAGTTTTTCTTTCTATGTAGTAGCAAAAGAAACCAAGCCTGGTATTTACCATGATTGGATAGAAGTAGAACCTTTAGTCAAAAATTTTCCCACACCTCAGTTTAAAGGATTTTATGATTTTGAGTCAGCTAGTACCTATGCCCGAAGACAAATAGGAACCAGTTACTTTATTAGCCAAATAGCTAAAGATTACCTGGACACATTGAGCAAGATGAAATCTACCATCTTTGCTACCAGTGGCGTTCCAGTTAGCCAAACAAGTGGAAGCAGTAGTACAAGCAGCAGTAGTTCCAATCCTCAGATAGATTCCCAGAATCCGCTCCAAATGTGCAGACATTGTGAAGGCCTTTCCAGAAATTTCAAGAAAATTATGGATAAAGGCAAAAAGGTCAGTGAAGAGCTAGACCAGCTCCAAGACGAAGAAAAACAATTGAGAGCAACCATTAGAACCTTAACCAACCAGCTTAAAAAATTAGCTCCAGAAAGAACACCTACCTCCTTACCTAGCCCAGAAATCAAACAACTCACCAGTGAGGAATTTGACCAATTGAGTGCTAGAATGTATTTCTTCAGGCATTCTATCATTCGATCCTTTTGTGAGAAAAGCCAAGTAATGGAAGACCTAAAACCCTATATTTATACCTTAGCTGGAGATAGCAGAAACGACGAGTTAGTCATTATTCAGCAGTTTCTTCAAGATCTCTCCATAGCAAGGGTTGACTGCCCCGGCCTAGCTTACCAATGGACCTATACTTATGAAGATGAAGAGCAACCCTGCTTAGATGAAGAAAGATGCAATAAGAGGTCAGAACTTTTTGGTAGATGTCAGTGTAACCTTGACTTCAGCATTTGCCTTTGCCAGATAAATTTAGCTACATTCGAGCCGCTGGAGATAGAAATTAGGGGCGAAACTCGTTATCTAACAGCTCCAAAATTGTTAGATTACGGCTTTGTCTCTAGACTAATTTTCACAGATCCAGATCAGACAGATAACTTCGGACACAAGCTTGCTCATGCAGTACTGTGCGTAATGGAAGAACATCATCCGTATGTGGAAGCTTTAATAGATAGCAAACT